TGGAGTCTGAACAAATAGTCATCATCGACAGGCAGCCACACGTCATTCAGCTGGGAGCCAGCTCCTGTGGTGAGCATATGGACGGGGGAAAAGCCCTTCTTCACGTGCTCTAGATCGTGATCGTGACCGTTGATGTATAGATCGACGGCCCCGCGTTCTAGGATCGGCAACAGACGCTCAGTAAGCCCAGGAGTGCCCAGCGGGCAACTACTGCTGTACAGTGGGTGGTGGCCAACTACGATCCGCCACGTGTCATTCTCCGCTGCCTTCAATTTCTCGGCGAGCTGCGTCAGCAGCCGCGAGTTGTCCGCTTCCAGGTCGACCCGATCGACGAACCAATTCATCTCTGCGGCGTCACTATACTCCAACGAGAAGGGTGACGTGTCAATGAAGAAGATTGACACTGTGGCATTGCATTCCGATTGCCCTGGAGATGGACTTGGTCGTTCCTCCTCCGCACGGATCGCTCTGTCGTCAGCATCTTGGAGCGCCGACTCCGCACACAAGTCCCTCCTCACTTCAAACGTCCGATTACATCGCCATCGCCAATCTCGAGTCGTCAGAGCGCCGCCCGTTTGGATGGACGGGTCCCCTCTGTAGTCGTGATTACCTAGGACGACGAACCATGGCCGTTGAAGACTGGCTGACGTGTACATATCGGAGAAGGAGATGGAGAAATTGGCATCATCAGCATGGGCCAATCCGGCCGGGTAGAAGTTGTCGCCCGTGGAGATGACGAAATCGACGCCGCCACGTGAGGCTGCCACGTCACCCATCGCCCTCGCCACGTCGGACTGATTGTAATCCCCAGCTCGACCCCAATCACCGACAGCAAGAAAGGTTAATGGACGAGCAACGAGTAGAGGAGCACCAGGATAAGCAAGAGAGGGAGGAAGAGACCGAGATCGAGAACGCGGAGGAGGAAGGATAGATGAACCGGTGTCCGGTTTGTGTCCGATTCCATCCCCATTCGAGCCCCTTGTCTTGCTGCCAATTCCTGCCGCCAGGATCACAGTAACAATTACCACAACTGCTATCCCAATCACTGCTGAGCATACCTGACGTCTCGTCCATCGCCCCGGACTCGAAGTGCCCGTGTCATAGCGCTCACAGCTCTCCTCTGTCGTAACGACTAGTCTTGCCTTCTCGTCCATTTCCTTCTACCTGCTTGTGTGTGCATGTGCACGTCGGCGAGATACGTTGCGTGCTCGCTATGTACAGCTCCTCGCGCGCACGCGCGTGTATGTGTGTGTGTGTATGTGTATGTGTGCGTGTATATGTGTGTGTGTGTGTGTGTGCGCGCGTGTCCGTGTGTATGTGTGTGCGTGTGTGGTGAGATGAGTCTACTGCACCTTGCCATGCAGCGAGCCGCGTTTATATAAGACACAACATACATAATGCCAATAACACAGACATCACAGCATTGAACGAATCACACCATGATCCAAGCGAATATTCCATTCGACTGGCTCACTGACTTCCCTAAAAGGACTGTTAGACCACGCCAAACGTGGTGGCGCAGCCAGGGCCAGGTGCT